ATAAATATTGAGTATGTTTATGCTCGTTTAATGTTCATTTAATTTTCACACACGCACAATTACAAACACACACACACACTCACACACTCACACACTCACACAAACAAACAAACACACACACACAAACAAACACAAACACACACACAAATACACGCACCTTGAGAGGCACTGATGATAAATTATAAATAAATATGGTGTATATTTTTGTTCTTTTAACGTTCATTCATTGCTTCTTCATCTATCATTGCTTCTTCATCTGTGTGTTTTTGAGGAATTTAATTTCCTTTTTTTTTGCTCACTCACTCACTCAGTCAATTATTCACTCATTCACTATTCACTAATTCACTCACTCTCTCACTCACTCAATTCATTCATTCAGTCATTCGCTCACTCATTCTTAAAAATTATAGATACGATAATTATAATTAATTATGGAATTATGGCAATACAATACAATTATATAGTATGCAATAAACAAGTCAATATTATATTGTGGATAAAATTAATTTATTTGACACTCTGAACTTCCGCCTATTTAATGACGTGACCTGGGCAATTAACAGAGTGAATGAACGAAAGAGTGAGTGTGAATGAATGAGTGATAGAGTGAAGGAGTGAATAAACGAATGAATGACATTTGAGTAAATCATGATGATGACGGTGTTAATGATGATGTTGATGATGATGGTGTAGGTGATGATGATGATGATGGTGCTAAAAGTGAATCATGAGTGAATTAGCAAACGAATGGGATAGCCAACAGGTGAATAAAAGATTGAATTGAATTAATGAATAAATAAATAAATAAATGAATGAAAGTAGAAAGGAAAATATCTATGAATGGATGAGTAGATAAATGAGTAAATGATCATACAAACCGAAGAACAAAGTGAATGAATAGATTGAATGATAAGAAATCTGTGACTAAAATGTATACAAAATTTTAATGATTTAAGTAAGAATCAGGATGAATGTCTGCGCGTATGCACCAACGAATGAGTGAATGAACGATTGAACGAACGAATGTTTTAATAGCAAAAACTACGATCAAAAACACTAAATAAAAATGAAAAGAGAAATGATTCGGCCAGTATAGAATCACGATTTTTGAAATATTTACATAAATAAATTAACTTCCTCATTTCAAAAATAGCAAGCAAGCGGTTCACTTTGACAGACAAAACGTATTTTTTCAATCGTAAAATGTAATTTTTATCAATCAACTAAGGGTTTTTTTTCTTTTTTTATCGTTCATTCCTCTCCCCACTTTCCAGAATTTGTTTCTTTATATTCGGTTCATTCCTCTCTCACAACTCACCATCATTCCAACAGACTTGTGATCAATCAAGCACTTCTAGTCCATTTTCCAAATTCAGTTGCAATTCATTCAATGATCCTCTGTAATCCCTTAAGGGACCGTTGAGGCCGATGGTATTCTTCTATCTCTCCAAAATCCTTTTCTTTCCCTCGCCATCTTCATTGAGCCCAATGTTCCAACCCCCGTCCATTCCGTGATATCATCCATCCACTTCCTCACAGGTCTTCCAACTTTTTTCTTCCAGTCCCTCTTTCTCATCAGTACTTTTTTGATCAGTCTGTTGTCTGTCATTCTGCAGATGTGCCCAAAGATACCCAGCTTTCTTTTCTTGACACTTTCATACACAGTTTTTTGTCTTCCAAGTTGTTTTCTCATGGCATCGTTTCTTATCTTTTGTCTCCAACTGATTCCCAGCAGCTTTCTATAACAATGCATCTCGAATGCTTCCAGTTTGTCTTTGTCTCTTTTCTTCAACGTCCAAGCCTCACATGCATACATCAATGTAGAAAACACACACGCTTCTACGATCTTTAACTTTGTTTTTGTAGATACATTACCGTTTTTCAATATTATTTTTAAAGATGCAAACATTCCTCTCGCGATTGCTATTCTTCTATCAATTTCTTTCAAACAATTATTGTCATCAGTTATGAGGCTGCCCAGATATATAAATTGGTTCACTTGTTCGAGCTTTTCTGCTCCTATCTGGAATTCATCATTGTTTCCACCTGTTTCCGAAATCATTATCTTTGTCTTACTGCTGTTGACGTCAACTCGATCAATTTCTGTAGACCCTCTGCACCAGATGCTAGCAGATCTATATCATCTGCAAACCTGAGGTCCCTTATCACTCTGCCTCCAATGTCGATTCCTTCAATATCTGCATTCTCCATTTTTTCCAAGGCTCTTTCCAACAGTGCTAAGAACAGTATAGGTGATATTGGATCTCCTTGTCTACTTTCTATGTTCGCTTTGATCCAGTCTCCCAGCTCTGTACCTACCTTTACCGCCATTGTTGACTCCTCATAAAGCCCTTTCAGCACCCTTACCATTTTTGTTGACACTCTCATACTTTCCAAAGTTGCCCACAAACCTTCGTGTCAGACTGAATCAAACGCCTTCTTAAAATCCACAAAACAATGAAAAGTTGTTTGACCTCTGCTTCCTGCATCTTCCAACAATAGTCTCAACATCAGGATTTGCTGAACTGTACTTCTGTCCTTTCTGAAACCTGCCTGCTCCTCTCCTAAATACTGCTCTATGTCTTTCTCCAATCGTTCTTTCAAGATCGTCAGCATGATCTTGCACATATGAGGGATCAGTGCTATTGATCTGTAGTTGTTGCAGTCTTTCAGGTCTCCTTTTTTTGGCAACATGATCAAGATTGATTTACACCAATCTTCTGGCCATTTTCCACTGTCCCAGATTTCTTGGCAGATTTTGTGAATCTCATTACATACAATTGGTCCTCCCGCTTTGATTAGCTCTATTGGAATTCCGTCTCTCCCTGTGCTCTTGTTGTTCCTCATTTTATTCATTGCTTTTATTACTTCCTCCAATGTTATTTCCGTTTCTTCCTCATTGACTACTTTTCTTTCTTTTAAAGCCTGTAACACCTCCTTTGTATACGTGTTTTTATCTGTGAACAGGTCCTTGATATATTCCGACCATCTATCTTTGATTTGTTGGCCTTCAATTAGAACATTTCCATCCTTGTCTTTAATAATCCTTGACGTATTCTTCAGTTTTCCTTTTAACTGTCTGACTAGCTGATACGCCTCTCTTGTTTTGTTTTGTCCAACTAGTGCTTCTACCCTTTCGCATCTATCGTTTATCCATCTTCTTTTATCTGCTCTGGCACTTTTCTTTATTTTGCAACACAGTTGTTTATATTAACACAGTTGCAATCCTCAAGTTTTACTCCATTTTCTCTTTTTCTATTTACAATTAGGCTGTCAAATGGGGATGTAATTTTTTTAAAGTAATGAATCACTATATTTCAATTCATGTTTTGATCCAATTTTAGAAATCTGCATCTATGGTTGCTGACTCTTTTTGTTATTTCATTGTTAATTCTCTCTTGATGTTAATTATTTTAAAGGTTGCCACGTTTCAACGTTTCAACACTTTAACCAGTTTTTCTGATATTATATTACACTATATATCCTAAAATAACTTCCCAGTCAGAGTCGAACGTTTGAAGTCTATAAAAATAGAGTTTCAACTGTTTCAATAGTAAATTCATTAAAATATGCGTAAAAAAATAGAATAACTTCTATATAAACTACAGCACTTTCTATGTATATGAATGAATAAATTACTAGACTATAATGTCTGTTGGTAAATATTGCAATATAAAGGTATCATTCTACATATGTATACAGGGTATTATTATGCCTAATATACAGAGTATTGTCACTATAAATTTTTTAATGTTAACTTATCTATGCTTACGTAACGATAATAAGGTGCTCGATGTCCCTTTAAAAATTAGAATTTAAATTTTCTGACATTTAATCATTCTTTTGTCAATTTAGTTAATTATTAAAAAATTTGTTTAAATTTGAATTTGAAGTGTTAGTTGGGAAGATGTTGGAAGTTTTGTTGTCTCCGTTTCGATTCGTCTGTCACTTCATTCAGTGCATATTTCTATTTCTTGGTCAGGATGACTTCTTTATTTTTTATTATTTAGAAAAAAAATCTTAATAATATTGTTTTTAATTTATTTTTTATAATAAGAATAAATTTGCACAATCACCAACCAATTAATCAATCATATAATTAATTAATGTTCATTTAATAATATTTTTAATTAATGTTAATTGTTAATGTTAATCATAAAGATAATAAAAGAAAAGTAAAGCTGAACTTTTAATTAAATTAATTAAATTTTTCTATTTTAAATTTTAATGTAGTTAAACTGCAAAAAAGCAAAATAAACACTACAATGAAACTTCTCATTTTTATCTTTTATAATTAAAATTAATTAAAAATCATGTAAATAATAATTACCATCATACTTTTATTTTTGTACACTGTACAATGTACAATATATAAGAAAAATAATAAAATTATTTAAATAATTTAAATAATTTTTATTTTTATTCAGCTTAATCTTTAAACAAGTATAAATTATAAACTAAGTATAAATAATAATAAAGTTGTCATGAGATTACATAATATGTTATTATTTTATATTACTGATTTTTTATTAATATATATATATATATATATATATATATATATATATATATATATATATATATATATATATAAATAAAATATACTTTTTTTATTTATGTTAAAATTAATTTATAATATAATTAATTTATAATATGATATTATTACTTATTATATTATATTATAATTTGTAATACTATAAATCAGTAATTGTTATATTTTTACCAATTTTTATTTAAAACAGCTACACTCATATCCACATTTCGAGGTCAGAAATTTTGTTTTTTTAATATTGAAATTATTGTTGTCACTGTTATTATTATTATTATTATTATTATTATTATTATTATTATTAATATATTAATGAACAACTCATAAGGTGAAAGAAAACAACCCATAGAGGAGGTCAACGAGTTTTGTGATTATTTTCAAAATCTGCAAAGTAGATCATCACCTACACCATCATCACCAACATCATCATCTACTCCATCATCATCATCAGCAACAACACCGTCGTCATCATCGTCGCCAGCACCGTCGAACGAATTATTCGAGAGATGTACTTATGGCCAGCTGATGAGTGCCATAAGGAAAGATCCTCAATATGTCGTGCTGTACTTCAACGATCTAAGTGACCAGCATAGTCTCCAGTTCTCCAAGTTCGTCTCCATTTTTATTTCCAATTTTTTCTCTCTAGCTAGGTGGTTAGTTAGTGGTTAATTTTGGGTTCTGTGGTGGTGTAGTGATTAAGATACCTGACGTTGTTGTTGCAGTGACTAAATGCAAATGTATCTCCACTAATTATTATGTATGTATGGGATGTTTGGATTATTCACATGTATTCACATGCACTCTGTATTTATTGGTTCTCTCCTCCCCCCCCCCCCCCCCCTCTCTCTCTCTCTTTCTCTCTGAAAAGTGCTTCAGAGAGAGTAGTTAAAAAAGAAGTGTCCACATTTTTTTAAAATGGTGAGATGGTGTAAAAGAATAGAAGTGCCTGTTTCTCTGTTGTACAGAGACCAGGTTCAAATTCATGGAGATGCCCCTGTAGTCTATCCATATGCAAAAGTGTTTTGATGATGTGGCATATTAGACTAAATTCATAGTTGAAAGGTATGGGGTATGAGATACAACTATTTAATATTTTTGTGCTAACTTTTAGTTGGTTGATTTGGTTGTGAATGCATGTGTACTATTGAATTTCTATATTTGTTTGTTTTGTATGTTTTTTTATGTTTTTGTTTTTTGTTTGGTACTCCTTTATTTTAAATTTTTATTAGTTTAGTATAATTTTTTATTTCAAATCTGCCCAAATTAAAGTTATTCAAGTAAGGATTAATTAATTAATTAATTAATAATTAATTGACTGATTAATTAATTACATAATTAATCAATTAATTCTACTTGATTGTGAGTGAAACTTGCCCAATTATGACCAGAACTGTCCTAAGTGACCCTTCATTCCAGTTCATTCTTAGAGAACGGTGCAAGATTTGGGGATGCCATATTACATCGAACGAAGGAATCAAGGGTTTGTTGATGATGGATAACCAATAGATTGGTTGATTAATTGATTTGTTTGTTGATCGATTGGTTGGTTAATTGGTTGATTAGTTGGTTGGTCGGTTGGTTGACTGTTCAGTTGGTCGGTCGGTTGGTTAGTTGGGGCGTTGGTTTATTTATCTACTTGTTTATTTATTCAACAATCTATCCATCCATCTATCCATCAATTCATTCATCCATCCATCAATTCATCCTTCCATCAATCCATTCATTCATTCATCTATCCATTCGTCCATCCATTTATCAATTCATCCATCCATTCATTCATCAGTGGCTCGTTCACTAAAAGTGCGCTGGTGCCCTTGCATCTGCCTCATTGGCTTCAAGATGAACCAACCAACACTGCTCATCAAACTACAGGGCCTATCAGGTTAGGATGAATGGGGTCAAATGAATAATTATGTCAAATGAATAATTAGGTCAGTGAAACATACAAGGTCAGATTAAAATTGGTCAAAGTTTAAAATTGGGTCAGATAAATATTTGCTAAAAGGGAAAAATTTAGTCTCTGGTTGTAAATTTTGGTCGGATTAAAGGTTAGGTTGGATGAAAAGTTATCAAGATTCTATTCTTTATGGATAGCTGTGTGTGTGTGTGTGTGTGTGTGTGTGTGTGTGTTTTAGTGTGAGTGAGTGTGTGAGTATTTACATGTGTGTGTGTGTTAGTGTGGGCGAGTGTGTGTGTGTTAGTGTGGGCGAGTGTGTGTGTGTGTGTGTGTGTGCGTGCGTGTATGTGTGTGTGTGTGCGCGTGTGTGTAGTAATAAAGATAATAATCTTCTTATTTATAATTATAATAATAATTACAATATTATATTACGATTTAATAAAAATAAATTATGATCAAAGAGATGACGTCAGGAGCGCTGATGAGTAAGCTGATGAAATATATGGATGACAATGAAGGCTTCCTTTATCAAGCCAAGATGGACAGGTTATTATTATTATTATTATTTTTATTGTTATTATTGTTATTATTAATGATTTTTTAAGGATGGAGCAGCTTTCGAACCAGAGCATAAGGGAACAACAGGACAATGAGTATCTACAATCATTGAAAGTTGATCAAGAGAAGGTTGGCTGGTTGGTTGGATGGCTGGCTGGCTGGTTGATTGGTTTGTTAGTTTTTGGCTGGTTGGTTGGTTGGTTGGCTTGTTGGTTGGTTGGTTGGTTGGTTGGTTGGTAAGTTGGATGGCTGGTTAGTAAGTTGGCTGGTTGGTTGCCTGTTGTTTGGTTGGTCGATTGGCTGGTTGATTTGTTGGTTGGTTGCAATAACATCATTGCTGTCATTACCTTCATCATCATTTACAACATCATCGTCATCATAACCATCGTCAACATCATCATCCAAAGGAGCGATTGAAGAAAGAAAGAGAACAGGAGAAGAGAAGGATGGAGGAAGAGAGGCTGGAGAAACATCGGGTTGCTATTTGTTTAAACAATACTGCTACTAATATTACTAATAATTTTTATTATTACTAATGATAAAAAATAAAAATAGTAATGAGGTTACTGACCACCATCACCACAGTCTCGCACTGACCTCCGTGAGATGTTGAGGACGAAACTGATGGATGAACCAGATGCTGATAGTGCAGCCGAATGTACTAGGTAGGTCTGCAATTTCTTTCGTTCATTCATTCATTTCATTTATTCATTCATTCGTTTGTCTATTCATTCATTCATTCACTAATTCATTCATTTGTTTGTTCGTTCACTCATTCATTAATGTTTGGCGAAATGCCCTGGCAGATCTCTTATTTTGTCATGATTTACCCCTGCCTGTCTGTTGAGTGCTGTGTCATAAATTATGCTAATGCTGGAACCGGCCAAATGCCATTTATGTTAATTGTTCTTAAATTATGTTAATGCCTCAACCAATCAGGTGCCTGATAAGATTGCCAAACGGACTGCGATTGGACAGAAGATTTCACATGGACTCTCCTCTGGAGGTAATTAGGTGACTGATTGGCTGCCTGATTGATTGAGCAATTGGTCTGTTGGTTGATTGAGTGAGTGATTGATTGATTGATTTTTAAAAATTTTCATTATCACCATCCCAGCAACTATACATCTTCCTCATGCTCCATGAATCCTCTCCGAATGAATTCCGGATAAACACAAACTACCCACGAAGGGAAATTCCGCCTCCAAAATTCCTCTCAACCAATCAGGTTGAAGGTAGCATTTCCAGTTCACCCAGTGGCAGCTCAGGTGGTAACGACGTTGACGACGGTGGTTGTGGTATGACGTTCAGGCAGTTTGGCTTCAATAAAACTGAGGCTCTTTTCGTCCTTGATCTGGAGGCCTGACGTCATCATCATTCATCAACAAAAACATCATCATCATCATCATTCATCAACAAAAACAACAACAGCATCATCATTCATCAACAAAAATAACATCATCATCATTCATCAACAAAAATAACATCATCATCATTCATCAACAAAAACAACATCATCATCATTCATCAACAAAAACAACAACATCATCATCATCATCATCATTCATCTATACTATCACAATCATCATCATCATCAACAACAACATCATCATCATTCATCACCATTCATCAACAAAAACAACATCATCATTCATCTATACTATCACAATCATCATCAACAACAACAGTTCTATCATTCTATTAACCACGATCATCGTCATCATCTCTACCATAATAATTATAGTCGTCATCATCTTCATCTTCATCATTGTCATCGTCGTCATCTTCATAATCATCATCGTCGCCATCACCATCTTCATCAAAGATTCAATTAATTGTTGTATTATTTGGTGATAGATTCTGTCACATCCCATTGTTGTTGCTGTCATGTGTTATTATAATGTGACAGTGGTATTGTTTTTTATTCTTATTTCTAGTTTCACTCATTTATTCAATAATTCTTTCTTCCTTTCTTCTTTCTTTCTTTCTTTCTTTCTTTCTTTCTTTCTTTCTTTCCTGTCTTTCCTGCAATCACTAACGATGTTTTCATCGTTACAACAAGCAGTTAAGTTTGAATAATGAGATGTTGAAATTAAGCTATTTTTCTATCAACTATAGATGATTTGAATCTTTGGGCAATTTAAATTTTGTTTCATAAATTATATATTATAATATATAAATATAATATTATGTAATAAAAATGATTTTAATCGTCACATGATTGTTTAAGATTTTTTTTTTCAATGCTGTTTAAGATTTATTTGAGATTATGTGATAACGAGTTGTACTGTACAAACGACAAAAATTTTGTATGGAAGAAAATTCAAAATGAATTGTAGATTTGGTTTTTTTGTTGCTGCCTGAGTTCTTCAAAATCATCGGCAGACCAAAACAGTTGTACTGCAGTACAATTTGAAGCTTCGAGATTGATCGGCGACTGTGACCATTGTAGTGGTGAAGTTGTAGTACACTTTAAAATAATTTAAGGATCTCGAGTAACAATGCCACTAAGTGATAATGTATAATACTTAAATTATGTGTAGCGCTAAATCATTAATTCCATATAGTGACGTAGACAAAACCATCAGCCAATGAAATCACTTTTAAAGTCTAGTGAGATTTCTCGCATTTACGTGGGCCACAAATTTAACCAATGAAATCGCTTTAAATGTTTTCATACCATATACACACACATACATGCACAACACACATACGCATGCAACACCACACACACACGCGCATGCAATACACACACACATACACGCACAAAACATGCAACACACACATACACGCACAAAACGCATACATACCTACCCAACAAACACATACATACATACACAACACACACATACATACACAACAAACACACATACATACACTACAAACACACATGCACATGCAACACACACATACACGCACAACGCTAAATATAAATGGTCAGAAATTTTGTCTAGCATGCTACCACACGCTAGCGATTTCATTTCGTTGCGGTTGTGTGTGGCTGCGGTGTCTGTCGCAACGGTAGCAGAGTTGTTTACAGGGTATTGATGCATTTTTGCAACAAAAAATACAGAACATTTATACACCAGCATCGATGTACAAGTAACAGTAGAAATATTTTATAATTTTTTTTTATTTAATTTCATCTCATTAGAATATTATTCAGAAATTCAATTTCGACTGTTTTACATCGCATCCACGAACACTTGTCTACTGTGAGATAAGACAAATCAGCAAACATAACTTAGAAAATAACAAAAGATGGAAATAAAATGTCAACACTTTGAAAATGACGATGTTAATCCTAAAAACTATACAACTTCGACTTTAATTGACAAATTTTTTTCAATGTAAAATAAATAGTAGAAGAGTAATAATTAATGAGTAAAAATGTATAAATGAGTGATAAAATGATGAAATGAAATAATCTAAAGTGCTATCTAAGAAACAACGAAATGAATTTAAGACTACTTCGCATGTCTGACCGTGGGGGTTGTAAAAAATTTTTCTTTGCTATCAGGTTTGCAAGCGTAGGAAACTGAACAATCTCTAACCGACTTTTAACTACTACTACTGCACTACCACTACTACTACCACTCTTACTACTACTACTACTACTAGTACTACTACTACTTGAAAACTATTCCTTCCAGTATAGAAAGCCAGTGTATCTAATGTAAGTTGAAATTACATCAAGTGTTTGGCATTCAGTTCGCCCAGCCTCGAATGAAGCTACTGCACCCACCACAGGAAAGTTTGATGAGGCTTGGCATGACCACCCAGCAATAACCTAACCTCTCCAACCACTGATGAATCCACAACCTGTCATCATTGTAATTTTTTCATTTTTACATTTCTTGCAACTCCTGTTATTGCTGCTTTGATTGATGTCATTATCATCGATACTATTGTTATTATTGCAAGGTGAGGTGAGGATCTTAATATTGTTGTTGTAACCCGGGCACTAAAACAATGCTTTGCAGTAATTTTACGATCCTTCTATTAATTATCTATGTTTAGTAAATTTCGATTTAATTTATTACATAAAATGTATTAACTTTACGATTTTACAACCTGCTAGTTGTTCTTGGCTTTGTCATTTCTCATTTATAATCGTTGCATTTGTTGGTATAAATGTACGAGCTGAACGTGTAACAGTAATTCTTCTGCAGAGTTTCAACCTCGGTTAACGAGCCAACTTTAGTAGAATCATTACTCTCGGTAAAAGGATATTTTCTGAACTACAAGAATGGATCGACTGCTTGCGTTCCGGAGATTAAGGGAGCAGCAGGATAGGGAGTACGAGCTTGCTATGAAGCTCGATAGAAAGAAGCAGCGATTGAAGAAGGAAAAAGAAGAAGAAAGGAAGAGGTTGAAGGAGGAGAAACTGGAAAAACTCAGGGTTAGTATTTTATTAATATTTTTATATGATTTTACTGGTAGCAGTAGTAGCAATGATAATGATAGCGTAAATAATGATGATAGTAATGAGTAAATGTAAATGTACATGATGATCCCACCCACCCACAGGCTCGTGCAAATCTCCGTGACATGCTGAAGGTGAAACTGATGAATGAACCAGTTTCTGACAACGTGGCTGACTGTACCAGGTTTGCCATTTGATTCACTCATTAATTAATTAATTCACTCATTTATCCACTTATTTATTCATTATGTCATTCATTTATTCATTTATTTATTCATTCAATCATTACTTCGCAGTGAAGGAACGTGAATTTCGCGATGTTTTTATGTTAATGTACGAATTTAACAATTATCATTTAATTTTTAATTTTAAATAAATTATGTTAATGCCTTAACAAATCAGGTGCGTGATAAGAATGCCAAACGGGTCAAAGTTCAATAGGATCTTTTGCATGGATTCTCCTATGGAGGTGATTGATTGATTGATTGTTTGATTGACCAATAATGACCAATGATTGAAACGTTGAATGAGTTATTGATTTAAAAGTATTGAAAATTTATAGCATTTAACATTTTTTATCACCACCACCACAGCAACTCTACATCTTCCTGATGGTCAACGATGAATCTCTGAATGACTTCCGGATAAATACAAACTGCCCACGACGGGAAATCCCGCCTCCAAAATTCCTCCTGACCAATCAGGCTGAAGCCAGCATTTCCGGTTCGTCCAGTAGCAGCTCAGATGGTGACGATGTCGGCGATGATGGTGGCATGACGTTCAGACAGTTTGGCTTCAGCAAGAGTGAAGCGCTTTTTGTCGCTATTTTGGAGGCTTAAACGTCCCCATAATATGGACGGTTTCTACAAAATTAATTGGTAGTCTTATATTCACCGTGTAAATGCTTTCGTCATTTTAATCATCATAATGTTTTTATTTTTGACTCTGGGAAAATTTGATGCCGTTTTTTAATTTGGTGATATTCGTTCGTTCGTTCGTTCGTTCGTTCGTTCGTTCGTTCGTTCATTCATTCATTCATTCATTCATTCATTCATTCATTCATTCATTCATCCAATCATTCATTTCTTCACTGTTTAATTTTACAAAAAATTCTTAAAAAAATATTGGGTTGATTTTTTGGTATTTGCGCTCTTCAAAATCATCTACCGAAAGATGTCGTGAAAATTGTGTTTCTTGATAGTTCACGTAGCAGCATGCGTGCTGATAGAGTAAGTGTAGTTTGCCGACAATTCGAATTGCTCTCCACCCAGTAAGGATTCCATCTCGATGATTAAATGAAATTTCATCTGCATCGCCGGAGATCCAAATGGAAATTTTCAAAATAAAACGTTGAGAATCAGGATATTTCTTGTGCTTTCAGACCGTTAATTAACTTGAATTGATTACATTTTCAACTATTTTCATTTAATAACTTTCTGAAAAATTATAGGGGCACCTCAGTATTTAGGATTTTAATCACAATAACTTTTAAAGAAAAGTGAATCTGGCACGAAGTCCAGAGCGGATCTCAAGACCCATCTGTTGGCAAAATTCATTGAAGAGGACTGTCGGACATCGTGGAAATAGCGCTTTATAAACTAATTGGTAATTGATTGATTGATTGATTGATTGATTGATTGATTGATTAATTGATTGATTAATTGATTGATTGATTAATTAATTGATTGATTGATTAATTAATTGATTGATTAATTGATTAAATTCAACGTTAATTCTTCAGCTGCTGACAAAGGGATTCACAATAAAATGATTAAAATATTTTCACCACTGGGCAATTTTAATGAAATTTACAAAAATTGAAAACATCTCAAAAAAAAGGTTTAATGTATGATAAAAATGGAGTGATATAAAAAAAACACACGTACACACGAACACACACACACGCACACAACACACGCCACACACACAGAGAGTAAAAGTAAGTATAATACTACATAGTATAAATGAAAAAGTTGCTTTTAAACTAAAAAATAAATTTCAAAAACGTCGTTTTGCATCAAGATAATAAAGAAACACTACCGGCTACTACTACTTCCACAACATCTACTACTACAACCCTTACTACCACTACCACCACTGCCGTTACTACCGGCTGCAATAGCGACTGTCGCTAGCCTCCCCACCTGCCACATGGAATTGTGGATGGTGATGGCGTCGATGGTGGCAGAGAGGTGCTTGGTGGAGGGCACCGCTGCGAAGCGTTTCGTCCCTGAGTCATATCTAGCGATTGGTCGGTGTGTGGGTGCGCGCGCGTGTGTGTGTGTGTGTGCGTGTGTGTGTGTATGTGCTTGTGTGTGCGTTTTGAAAATTTTAAAGCAAGTAAATAGAAAAAGAAAAAAAAATTAAAAAGAGAAATACAAGAAAAAAAAGAGAAAGGTAAAGAGAAAGAAAATGAAGAAAACCGTGTGTGTACGTGCAATTTGAGTTTGTGCGTATGTGCGATTTGATTTAGTTTTTGTCAGTTTGGTGCCTGTGCGATGCTGAAAATCGCAGAACTAACTTGAAAAACAGGTCAATCTGTGACGACTTGATGATCTTCGGACCGACGCCGTGCAACCTGACGAGGGTTCCAGCGTATGTGTTCTGTCGTCCTGGGCTGCTACTGCTGCTGCTGCTGAACGCGTAGAGGGATCTATACTGCATGTTGGCGCTTCTGAAGAGCACGAGGAAGTGTTTACTGTCTGACTTTTTTAATGTCTGTCGGTGTTTGAGGTAGATAGATGATTGGTTGGCTGTTCGTTGGTTGGTTTGTTGATTGATTATCTAGATAATTAATTAATTAGCCAATTAACCAACCAACCAAACTGTCAATAAAACAACCAACTCACCAATGAATAAACTAAACAAATAAACAATCATACAACTAGCCACTCAACTAGCCACACAACTAGCCAGCAAACCAACCAATCAACTAGCTAGCAAACCAACCAATCAACCAGCCAACCGGCCAACCAGCCAGCCAACCAACCAACCAACCGGCCAACCTCTGTAACTTCATTCCTGACTCCCTCATTCATACTCCCAGGTAGGCAGCTGTAATGCAAGGCGTTCTCGACAACACTCCTGTTCGATCTACCGCACGGCTTAACAAATAGCTTTGGACCTTTGTGAATGATGATGACGATGATGATGACGATGATGATGACGATGATGATGATAGACAACTTTAATATTGTTATAGTTGCAGATGTTGATGATGATGATGATTATAATAATTAAGTGGTTGATAATGATGAGTGATAATAATTATATTAATATTATTATTAAGAAGATGTATACAAATAATAAGAACTCACCCTCATTTTCTGGACAACTTTTATTTCTTCTTTTTTCTTTCCATTTCTCACAATCGTCATCATCTTTATCATCTCTATCACCACGATCACCATAACCATCATCACCATCAACACTATCAACATTACCGCGTGTATTAACATCACAATCACCAATGGTTGTTGTTGTTGTCGGTTTGTCTTGGAGTTTTGTTGGCGATTGTTGTTGCGGCTGTTGCTGAATTTGTTGCAGCTGATGTGGTTGTTGCAGCTGATGTAGCTGTTGCAGCTGATGTGGCTGTTGCAGCTGGTGTGGTTGTTGCAGCTGGTGTGGCTGTTGCAGCTGATGTGGAAGTAGCTGCTGTGGTTGTTGTTGTTGATTTTTCTGGTCGACTTGATGTTTCTCATGTAGTCGTTGTCGATTTTGTTGTTGGTTTTGTCGTGTTTGCTCTGCAGATGAGGTCCTTCCGCTTCTCCCACATCCCATGTCCCTCGTTTCAACTTCAACATTTGACCTGCCAATGGCGACAAACAAATGCTGCCAATTTTTTTATACAATGATTATAACTGAAAGAAAAATCAAAACGCAAAAAAATGAACAACACACGCCAAACTATAAGCAATAAACAGGCAAACGACCACAAACAAATACCCTCACACGTACAAAAACATTCACACTCATACGCACACACGGAACGCACACGCACGCACATACATATACATCCACAAACACACACACATGCATACAAAAACGTACCCAACAAAGGGTCACACCTTTCTCACAAACAATAATTGAAACTTTTAAAAGACGAACATCAATGCAACAGACATAGCAAACAAACACGTGCAACACACACACACACACACACACACACACACACACACACCACATACACAACTTCAAACACACCACACACACAACTACACATACACACAACTACACACACACAACTACACACACACACAACTACACACACACAACTACACACAACTATACACACACACAACTACACACACACAAAACTATACACACACACACACAACTACAAACACACACACACACACACAACTACACACACACAACTACACACACACACAACTACACACACACACACAACACACACGCATGGCACATCGCATAACACACTTGAAAACAACTCAGAAAACCGTGACCAACATCATTATCTTATTCTTCTTCTTCATCATCATCTTCTTCATCATCTCCTCTCTACGCCTCTTAAGCTTCTCTTCAATCTTCTTGTATCTCTTTTTGAACACTTCTCCCTGACGATGACGACGATTGCATCTTTATTGTCGTCATAAAATATTACTACTACTACTACTACTACTACTCTTATAACTACTACTACTATTACTACTGCTGCTGCTATTACTACTACTACTAATGCTGCTACTACTACTACTACTACTACTAATGCTGCTGCTACCCTAACCCTACTACTAATATTACTACTACTACTACTACGACGACGACGACAACAACAACAACTAGTACTACTATTACAACTACAACAACAACTACTGCTACTACTATTACTACTACTACTATTATTACTACTACTACTACTATTACTACTACTACTATTACTTCCTCGTCATCATCATCATCATCATAATCAATTAGATCACACTCACCTGATCATCATCCCCATCGTCGTAATTTTCATCCGTCACTCCGACACCATCATTACCGCCACCACCATCATCATCATCATTTAACTCTTTCATTTCTTTCGACCTATCATCGGTATCATTATCATCATAACCGTTAGCGATGACGTCATCGTTGTTGTTGTTAACGTTGACTTTGAAATTATCATTGTTGTTTGTTGTCGTGTTGTTGGTGCTGTTTGGGTTCGTTTTCTTGTCATCGTCGTCGTCACGTTCGTTGCTGGTCATGATTAAGTTTTGTTGTTGTTGATGATGTTGATGTTGTTGCTGTTGTTGTTGGTGCTGTTGACGATGTTTTTTTGGATGAACTGGCTTACAGCTAATGGTAAAAGCGACAGGCTGCCAATAAGAAGTTTGTTGTTGTTGTTGATGATGTTGCTGTTGTTGTTGCTGATGTGGTTGTTGTTGTTGTTGCTGCTGTTGTTGCTGCTGATGATGTTGTTGTTGTAGTTGTTTCCGATCAATAAATGGCAACGATGACAATGACGTCGATGCTGTGACTTTAAAATGAGACTGTGACGATTTTGTTGCAGTTGCGATTGCTGCTGCTGCTACTGCTACATTTGCTGTTGTTAACGACGCCGTTCTTGTCAAAGTTGGATGGATAGTTTTCACAAAATTCGGTAAATTTATCGAAGTTTTTAACCTACAAGACGAAATAGCATTTTTTTGTGGTTGCTGTTGAAGGGGATGTGGTGAAGTTGGTTGTTGTTGTTGTGGTTGGTTTTGTGGCGGCAGCTGTTGTGGTAGTTGTGGTGAGTGTGGTTGCTGTTGAGGCTGTTGTCGTATGAAAAACTGGATTTGTTGTTGTACTAGCTCGAGGTTGTCGTTCTGCTGTTGAAGTTTATCTTCCAAACGTTCCTCCATCCGTTGAATTTGATGCAGCAGGAGTTGTTGCATCTCTTGATGGAGTGTTTTTCTGAGGGTGAGTTTGTCTTTGTTGCTATCGTTCTTTTTCAAAGTGTCCAATCGTAGTTGTGGCTGACTTTGTGGCTGTTGTAGTTGTTGATGTAGTTGTTGCTGGTTCTTCTTTTGTCGTTGACGTTGTTGTTGTTGATGTAGTTGTTGCTGGTTCTGATTATGTTGTTGATGTAGTTGTTGCTGGTTCTGATTTTGTAGTTGATGTTGCTGTAGTAGTAGTAGTTGATGTTGTTGCTGCTGTTGTTTTCGGTCATAACTTTCTTGTTGTTGATGTTTCGTTTTAAACTTTGTCAATTTGAACATCTGGGGGATATTTAATTTCACCATTAATGCTGCTACATACATATACACACAGTTTAGCACGTATTCATTCACGATGTTTGTGCTCTTTGTTGAATCCTCTGAACTTTGGAAGAGTGTAATTGACCTTTAACCTTTTTTTAACCTTTAATTGACCACAGCATACTTACACAACAAACATACACGCGAAATACATGCCAGCCGGCAGCGTACGTACTAAAAATGCTACGCTTCCGGGAAAAAATCCAGTGGGATCCAGTAAGATTAGGATCCGTTGAATCCAACACTAAATATCGGTGAAAGCGAATCCACGGTTTATCGCATAAAATTGAATTTAAAAAATAGTTTAATCAAATATTTTTCTAAATTGACGCATCTGTCGTTTATTATATGAGATCAGGATCTGGACACGGATACTATGAATACAGGTTTCTCGGATCCGCATCACTCCTATTACATATAATATACACACAGAAACATACACACACACACACACACACACACACACACACACACACACACACACACACGCACGAACAAAGACACACACACGCACATACACACGAACAAAGACACAGACCTTATAATTCACCTTCTTGTTCATTTGGTAGCATTTTGCCAGCTTTCTATACATTCGTCTTTCTATCAACCTATGCTCGTATGTTTAGAATATTTTAATTATAATAATAAAAGTAATAATAATAATAATAACAGCAATAACAACAATAATAATAAGTAATTGCAAATATCATTGTGATATTAAAACTAATCATATCACCCACCAGCCAGCCAACCATCCAACCAACCCACCAGCCAACCAACCAACCAACCAACTAAACAACCAACCAGCCAACCGACTAAACAACCATCCAACCCACCAGCCAACCAACCAACCAACCAACTAAACAACCAACCAGCCAACCGACTAAACAACCATCCAACCAACCAGCCAACCAACCAACCAGCCAACCAATCAGCCAAACAATCAACCAACCAACCAACCAACCTTCTTTCCTTCCTCAACTTTTTCAGCACGCTCCGTCGTTCCTCTCCTTCCAAATCATCATCATCATCTTCGTCATCATCCTCATCATCGATATCTTTTTTGTGATCATTATCAGGAGCGTGAAGGCCGCAGTTATTGTTTTTACTCATCTTATCATTAACAATAAGATTTCCTCTTGTTGATGAAATATGATAACAAATGTACTCAATAGATGATGACGACGACGACGTTGATGATGATGGCAATGAAGATGATGATGAAGATGATGATGACGACTGTGGTAGCCGATGAGGTAATGATGATGATGATGATGCAGCTAGAATATTGAGACCATCGTCGTCTTCATCATCTTTGTTGTTTAAGATATCTTTCGTGCCATTTAAATTTCTGTAAAAACCATTTGGTTGCATATTTCTGTTGGCAATCAAACAAACGAATGAATTACTGAATGAATGAACGAACGAATGATGGAATGAATGAATGGACGAATGAATGAATAAATGAATGAATCAATCAATGAGTAGATAGATAAATTAATTAATTAAGAGACAAACGAATGAGAAAATAGAATACAAATCATACTTAGTATATAAAGATACATATCTACCTTATATGATTCAGATCAATCGATTAACATTAAACATACGACCCCTAGCAAAAATATTTAAAAATAAATAATCTTCTCATCTTACAGTTGAGCAACCGCTTAAAAAATAACACAAATAATCATTATTGAGAATAGTAAAATTATTGTTATTAGCGTTAATATTTGTATTTTTGTTTACACAGAGCACCACGGAATTGGAAGAAATGCGTTTTATATTTAAAATCGTTTTATAATTAAAATCGTTTTATAATAAAAATTTATACATCCATTCAATTCAACCTTACTTTTCTTACTTCTGTTGGATTGTTAACACGATTGCTCTCATAAGCATTATTGCTGAAACTATTTCCATTGAATGAACGAATGAAAGTTTAAACAGATGAACGAGTTAGTTGGACGAACGAATAAACGAGTGAGTGTATGAACGAACAAACGATTGAGTTAACGAACAAATAAGCGAACGAACGAACGAGTAGATAAACGAACGAACGATCACAAAACGTTGTCTTTGCAACGAGAACAATCTTTGCAACCAAGCAATTGAAATCTACCCAAATTTCTAATTAGAAATTAATCATTTGTTTAAAATTTTAAATCCAATCGAATCTGGCAAATCGAAATCTTATCGGCATCGGTATGGAGGATTGGGAGCCGTCGGATCCCAAATCATCAGTTAGGATTAACAGTGAAGAAAAATATTGTGACGCTAGAGAACTCGAATGTTTGCAGTTTCCAAAGTAATAAAGCTCCAGTTTTTAACGTTAGTTTATTATCTACAGTATATAAATCATGATAATAAAATAATAATAAAATCATAATAATAAAACTATAATAATATATAATAATAACAGATCTATAATGATAGAACCATCATAATAAAACCATAATAATAAAACCATAATAATAAATAAATAATGAAATCACAATAAAATGATCAATATAACAAATTGCATATCAGAGCAATAACCGCCATGAAGAAAATAATAATAATAATAAGATAATGGCTATGCAGTATAAACCCTCATCATATCATCACATTTACTCATCATCGTCGTCGTCATCATCATCATCATCATCATCACCACTGTGATTAGAATAGCCACTATTATCATCACTATGACCATCCTGCAGACCACTCAGTACCAGCTTAGCATTCTTGATAACGATCTGCCAAATCCTTTCATCATCATTATCATCACCGCCAGTGGCACGATCATCACGGTCGTCATCATCATCGTCGTTTTTCTTCACTCTGATATACTCATTGACGTAGAAATGTCTGAGGAAGAGGGCCAGGCTCGTCCTGAGGGTTTTGTCGTTGGGGTTGGTCGACAGCGGTTTGAAGACTTCCAGGAAAATCTCGCATCTCGTTAGAAGGTGTCGAAGGATTCTATCCACGAATCTCGTCGTCTTGGTGTCCAGTTCGGAGAAGTTGATGTTCTGTTTGGGGTTTAGGTAGGAGGGGTCGTGTGGTGTGGGGTGTGGTATGGGGTGGTGGGGTGTGGTGTGGTGGTGTCGTAAGGTGTATTTTTTAGTTACCAGAATTAATGTCTGTTAATGAAATCTACAATCGTCATCATTAAGTTTTTTGAATTTATCACTCGCTCACTCACTCACCCCTATCTTTCCCTCTCTCTCTCTCTCTCACACACACACACATACAAGCAAATACACACAAACACACTCACTAACTTTAAGCACGTTAATAGGAAGAGCCCTCATTGACAACATCATTTTAATGAAATCGGCCAAATTGTTGGACTTCTGTTCATTGACACTCGTTATCTTCATATGATCCCAAACACTGAATTTGCAGGCAATCTACGTATGTATGTATGTATTTATGTATGTTTGCATGTATGTAAGTATGTATGTATGTATGTTTGTGTGTATGTATGTTTGTTTGTGTGTATGTATCAAATCAAATCAAATCACTTTTATTCAATCAAACAAAACAAAAAGCATGAATGATTCGGAGACCAAAAAAAGAAAATTAATTCTTGTGGGCTCGGCCACCGTGCAGCTCAAAATAGCTTCTCAATGATAAAATAAAATTGTCAATAGGAGAAAATGTATCAATGTTAATGAAATATGTATACACTTATATACATATATATACATATACATTATTATCCTTTAAAAACAGAACTTTTCGTAATTAAAAAATTTTTCAGTTTATTTTTAAAAAGATGCAAAGTGTTACAATCTTTAATTTCTTGTGGAATCGTCTCCCATATTCCTGGGCCGGTGTGTTTCAAACTCATGCAGAGTACTTTAATTCTGGTTGGTGGAGCATAGAAAAGTGGCGTGCGGCGTGTAGTTCTTGCTTGAATGGAAGTTCCAAAAGTGAAAAAGTCTCTAAAAAATGCCAGCAATTGCTGACGTAGAAATCTAAAAATGAATGTTGCAACGTGGTAGATGAACAAGTTTTTGATGTTGAGTATTTTCATCTCGAGATAATATTCACTTGTGTGACAATGAGGATGAAGATTTTTAAATATTCTGATGAATCGGTTTTGGCATTTTGTTAACTGTTTCAGATGAATGTCAGGACTGTTTCCCCAAATTACGTTGCAGTAGATGAGGTGAGGGAAGATTAACGAATAATACAGGTCAATTAGAGTAGGTTTATTTAATTTATTTTTAATTTTGCTTATAACTCATAGGGTTTTGCATATTCTTTTAGACATAGTATCTATGTGAATATCCCAAGAAAATTTGTCCCTTGATTGTTACTCCAAGGAATTTTGTGCTGGTTGAGCGAGGAATAGAAATATTGTTCATTTTTATGTCTAGGTTAGGTATAATATTTGTTAAAATTTTCGGACCAAAAATAATGTAATTACATTTAGAATAATTTACTATTAATTTATTTTTGATAAACCAGGTTGATATATTTTGAAGACTGTTATTGATGTATTCTACTTCTTTCAATGGGTCTTTAGTTGGGAAGAAGACATTAGTGTCATCTGCATATAGAAGGTGATTTGCATCAGTTGCATGTTGAAAATCGTTCATGAAGATTATGAATAGAAGAGGACCTAAAATTGATCCTTGTGGCACGCCTGATCTTATGTTAAGTTTTGTTGAGGAGTGACTTTTTATTGCCACATACTGGTCTCTGTTCTCTAAATAACTTTTGAACCATGCACTTACTTTTCCTCTTATTCCATGTGAATTTAATTTTTTAATCAGTATATCGTGGTTGATGACGTCAAAGGCCTTTGAGAGGTCTATGAATACACCTACAGTTAGTATCTTTTCGTTAAGATTATTCATAACATTTTGTGCTAATTGCAGCACAGCTTGCTCAGTTGAATGCTGTGCTCTGTAGCCATATTGATTATCATTTAATAATTTATTTATGGACAGAAATGAGGTGACTCTGACAAAAATTATTTTATCTAGTACTTTGGAAAGTGGAGAAAGTAGAGATATTGGTCGATAATTACTTGTCTCTAATTTGCTCCCCTTTTTGTGAATTGGAACTACTCTGGATGTTTTGAAGCATTGTGGAAATATTCCTTGGACGATGGAAAGATTGTAAATATGAGTGATTGGGATGACAATTTCTGGGATGATTTTTTTAAGTAGATTGTTACTTAAAGTATCATCTGACTTATTTTTTTTGTTGCTTAAGTTTTGAACAATGTACATTACTTCTTCTTCATTGGTGAAGTTCATATACATTGATTTACAGATTGCACTATTTATTTTTAATTTATCTTCAGTAACTATTTAATTTTCTAACAGCTTCTGTGACATTGATGAAATATTCATTGAAAAGAATACTTATTTCCTCTGGGTCTTCGATGATTTTGTCGTCAACTTTTAGCTTATTAATTTCATGAATGTTTTGTTTTCTATTCATTATACCGTTTATTATTTCCCATTTTTGTTTGGAGCAACTCTTTGCCTCTTCAAATTTTTGTTGAAAATAATTTTTTTCTGCCTTTCTCTTTACTGATGTAAAGTAATTTCTAAACTTTTTATATTTTTCAACATTAGCGGAGTTTGGTGCAGCGACTGCTATTTTATAGTCGATTCTGTTTTTTTGATAATTTTATTATTTCATCAGATACCCATGCTTTTTTATATTTTTGTTTCTGCCACTGCAGAGGTGCGTATGTGTCAAGAGTTTTATTGAGTATATTGTAGAAATTCAGGCATGCTGTATCTATATTATTCTCGTTTTTAACTGAATGCCAATTTTGAAGTGAGAGGGTTTTTTTAATAAAGAAAATGGATGTTTTATTAATTTTTCTACATAAAATTTGGTCATCATTGATAGCAGTTTTAAAATTTTCTACTATTGCATAAACTGGAAAATGGTCAGAAAAGTCTGAGACTATGACTCCACTTTCGCAATGTTGATACAGGTTCGTAAATATGTTGTCGATTAATGAATTGGCGTTACAAGTTACTCTTGTTGGTAAATTAATTAAAGGCGAGAAACAAAATGAAAATAGTAAATTTTGGAAGTCTTTAGAATCATTTGAATCATTGTCCAATAAATTAACATTAAAGTCGCCCACTATAACAGTTTTGTCGGCGGGTTTGATGGCGTGTAAAATCAAATTGATTTTATTTAAAAAAGGCTCAAATTTATAATTGGGTGGGCGGTATATCGCGATAACTTTTAGCACACCCCTAGATGAAGCATGCCCCGATTCAATGTCCACGCAGAGAACGTCGACATTTTCATCATCAAATGCACTGTTATCATTTACAACATATTTGATGTCATGCTTTATGAACACACCAACATCTCCGCCTCGTTTGCTTTTTCTATTTTTATATACAAAATTGTAATTACTTAACTTAATGAAATCAACTGTTTCATTGTTCAACCACGTTTCTGATATTACTATAATTTTGAAAAAGTCGTCGAATTGTTTTAAGAAGATTTCTAGATTTAATAATTTATGAAACAAACTTCGAGCATTCAGATGAATGATTGGTAGGTGATTGTTTTTCATTTTATTTTTCAATTTTATTATGTTAGATAATTCTTAATGTATTAATGTATGTATGTATGTATGTATGTATGTGTGTGTGTATGTATGTATGTATGTATGTATGTATGTATGTATGTATGTATGTATGTATGTATGTATGTAAGACCCTTCGTTGATGGGGTTATTATCATTGCCAGGTTCTTCCATACTCTATGCTATTGGGTCACGCACAGAGTCTATTTAAAGCCCCATCAAGTATGTATGTGTGTGTGTGTGTACGTATGTGTGTGTATGTATGTATGTGTGTGTGTGTATGTATATGCGTGTGTGTGTAAGTATGTGTGTGTATGTGTGTATGTATGTGCGTGTGTGTGCGCGTGTGTAAGTGCACCAACCATATATCTTCTGTGATGCCTGCAAAGCTGTTGGGCTAGATACACGTAAAACGCATTGAACTCCTTGCCTGTTCGAATTAAAAGCAACGAAAACTATTAATAAATAAAAATAAATACAAAGAAATAAATAAACTTAAAAATAAAACATAAGATGAGATACAAAAGTAAGCGGAGAATTGGTATATAAACAATAAGCAAAGATGAGGATGAATAATAGGAAACAACAACAAACATTAAAAAAAGAAAAACAAGTGAGAAAATCAAACTACAAACAAACAATCAAACAAACAGACAGACAGTAAAACATTACACAAACCTTGAACACACAGCTTAACAATAACGGCCATAATCTCATGCTGTTGTTCCGGTTTCAAATTCAAACTCATCAACCTTTCGAAAGCATCTTTGTAGTCCTATTCATTATGTATGTATGAATTATGCTATGTTCGTTTAGTATGAGTGTGTGGATGTGTATGTATGTGTGTTTGTATGTATGTATGTATGTATGTATGTATGTTAAAACCAAAACATGATGAGTGACACTGAACCGTCAAACATCAAGTAACAAATGGATTAACACTTTGATTTGTCGTTAATTGCACATGTCGGCATTCAATTGAATTGTATGTATGTATGTATGTATGTATTCAACAACCAAGAATAACAAACATACAAACAAACAATCATACAAACAAACAAACAAACAAAACAAACATGCAAACAAACGACAAACAAAGGAAAGAAAACCTCTGAAGACATGATAGTGCAGAATATGGTCGTCCTCAGAGCGGTGTTCATCTTATGCAGGCGAGCCTTCTCCAGCAGATGACTCTCAAAATTTGCGTCGCTCGATTCGTCCACTGCTTCGAAAAATAGTTAATAATAATTTATAATAATAACAATAACGATGATAATAATAATAATGATGAAAATAATAATAATGGTAATAATAATGATAATGATGGCAATAACAACAACAATAATAACAATAATAATAGTAATAATAACAACAACAACAAGAACAACAACAACAATAATAATAATTTCTAAAGCCGCCACTCTTCATGGCTTTCGTCATGATCTACAACACGCAACAAACCAACAATCCGTCTAACCATTCCTTGACTTTCCACTGACATCACCATCACCACCAACGTCAGAAGCCGCGGCAGTGTCCTCAACATTGGCGTCAACTTCGCTGACGTAATTTCTCCCATTCCAGGCGGATCCGACCAGCCACCACTTCCCCCTGGTGTTCGAAAGTTCGATGTCTTCTAGTGAAACTCTTAGGGGGTAGCTGGATTTCGCTGTGAAGTATGATGACGAAGATGATGAAAATGAGGAAGAAGATGAGGAATAAGATGATGAAGATGAGGATGGAGAAAAAGATGATGAGGATGAATAAGACGATGAAGGTTAAAGGTTAAGGTTAAAGGTTTAAGGTTTCTCTTTCTCTTTTGCGTTAGCTTCAGAGGTTTCAACGACAAACACACACAGCGTACATGAATACGCGTGCAAACCACGCATCATACACATTGCATATGATAGGCGGGGATCTCATTGTATTCGAACCCAGTCATCGCAATAGCAAGACCAGGCGCCTTTAACCATTGAGCCATCACGCCGCCCATGATGGAGATAAAGATGGTGATGAAGATGATGGTGATGAAGATGAAGAAAAAGATGCTGAGGTTGAAGAAGATGATGAAAAGGATGAGGATGATTAAGATGATGAGGATGAAGATGGTGAAGAAGGTGATGAGGATGATTAAGATGATGAATAAAATGAAAATGATTAAATATGAGGAAAAGGAAAATGAAGATGAAAAAGATGATGAAGATGATTAAGATGAAGACAATAATAATATATACAATTATAGAATAAACACGAGTAGTGGTGATGGAATTGAAGAGGTAGTCAGTCAATCAAAGTCAGCCAGCCAGCCATCCAACCAACCAACCAACCAATCATTTATCCAACCAACCAACCAACCAACCAACCAACCAACCAACCAACCAACCAACATTTGACAATAGATTGGAATAGTTTCCACCTCCTAGAATACCCATCAGCATCATAAGTACTTATCTTGTGCATCTGATTGTTCTTCAGTATCGTCAGTAGGCTTATCATGTTGTCGGCCAGTAACCTGTCAATCAAATACTCACGCATACATACAAACATACATACATACATAAAAACAAACATACATATGCACATACTACATACATATATACATACAAACATACATACATACAAACATACATACAAACAAACAAACATACATACATACATTCACACACACACACACACAAACTTTTTTTTACTAGCGCCATCATCATCATCAGTAGCAGCAGCACCATGAGCTTGACTCTGAACTGTACTGTCCTTGACCTTGTTTGACATCTTCATGACCTTCTGAAGAATTTCCTTGAAGGTCACTGAATCTTCTTTCCTCAATCTTGGACCAGCCTCTGATAAAAACACAATAATAATAATAATAATAATAATAATAATAAATGATAATAATAATAATAATACAACAAAAACTACTAATTAAATAACAACAACTAATACCAATACTACTACTATTACTACTACAACAACAACAACTACTACTACTACTACTACTACTACTAACAAAAATAATAATAATAATATTAAATGAATAGAATTAATACAAAAAACTGATGAATAATAAAATATTATCCAAATAGAAGAACAAAAAACTAACGATCAGCATCAGCAACATCAACAAACAACAACAATATCAACATCAACAACAACAACAACAACATCAAACACAACAAAAATATCAACCACAACACCAACAACAACAACAAATCAAATCAAATCAAATTTTATTCAATTAATCCAAATTAATAATAATTAGGTAATGATTAAGAGACCAAAGCTAAAAGAAAACAAAATTCTTGTGTCGCAGGCCAGCGTTCACAAATTGTTCATTCTATCACAATTTTAATTAAATTTATAATTCATGACAGCAGCAACAACAGCAACATCAACAACATCAACCACATCAACAACAACATCAACCACAACAACAAAAACATCAAACACAACAAAAATATCAACCCCAACATCAACAACATGCACCACAACAACCACAACATCAACAACAACAACAACAACATCCACCACAACAACAAAAACATCAAACACAACAAAAATATCAACCACAACTACAACAACAACATCAACAACAACGACAACCACATCATCAACGACAACGACAACAACATCATCATCAACATCAATCAAAACAACAACAACAAACCTTTCAATAGCAACGAGATCAAATTAATGTCGACAATTGAAAATCTATTCAGCATCCTGTCAACTAGATCCATTATCAGCACGCTCTCTATCACCTTTATAATTATAATATTATTATTATTATTTATAATTTAATTATAGTTAACAATAATATAAATAATAATAAAAACATAATTTATTATTATTATTTATAAGTATTTTTTTACCAATTCATCAAAAAGACTCATAGTTGACATGCATATATATAATCAATAATATGTTTAATATTTAAATTGATGCCTTACATTATGACGATAGTAATAATAATAATAATAATAAAAAATAATAATAATAATAATAATGAAAACTCTTCTATTTCAACCAAAGTCGTTTAAAATGAAAATTAAAAAGTAATTAAAAATGTAATAATGTTCAATAAAAACCACACTGCTCATTGTCTAGGGCAAGTGCAATAATAATAATAAATAAATAATAATAACAATAATAATAATAATATAATTATATACGTCATCGTCATCCTCACTTTGTAATCGTAGAGCTGGCAGATGAATAGGAGGCAGTTGTTCATCTCGTGGTTGATGTCTGCTTGTTGGTGGCGGATTGTTGTTGGAGTACTGTCATCATAACCTGGTTTATTCATTTTTTAAACAGCTTATTCATTCAGTCATTCATTCATTCATTCACTCATTCATTTGTTTATTTGTTAGCTAATTCATCCTTTATTTGTTCAACCAATCAATTAATTAATCAATCAATCAATAATTTGGTTACCTAAAATCATCAATCAATCGATCACTCAATAAATCAATCCATCACCCAATCAATAAATCAATCAACCAGCCACCGACCAGCCAATCAATCAATCAACAAACTTTTGAAAAGATTGAGAAACTTTGAGACGACGTATTGAAGGAATGAGGCGGAGATCTCAGCGCCCACCTTGAAATGGAGAACTGACATCATGAAGCAGCAGTGGATGGCCAGTGACCTCGTGCAAGGGTCAGAGGTTAAGCACAACTTGGAAATACCTGAGTGAGAATTTGCATATGTATGTATGTATGTATGTATGTATGTATGTATGTATGTATGTATGTATGTATGCGTGTGTCTGTGAGAGCGTTGGTATGTGTGTATGTGTAGTTGATTGAAAAAGTGTAATGAATGTACACACACAAAAAATGTAAATAAGTGTTTACAAAAACAAACAAACAAGCAAACAAACAAGCAAACAAACAAACAAACAAACCAACAAACAAATAAACAAACCAACAAACAAACAAACCCGATTCAAGTGCATGCGATAAGTCCTGCCTACTGTTTTTCATGAACAACTCATCCAACTCATTACAGAACAGGACCATGTTGTTTTCATTCAATCTGTATGTACGTATGTGTATGTATATATGTGTATGTATGTATGTATGTTGGTAATAGACCATAATTTTTACAATATTCTATAAATTCTACCGAATGTTTAGCGTTAATATGTTTGTAGTTTGTCAAAATGAATTTAGATGGAGATAGACTTTGTCTAAATTCACTTTGACAAAGTCAATCTCCATCTAAATTCATTTTGAAAAAGTCAATATTTCCCTATATAAACAGCAGAAAGCACTGATGATGATTCATTCGGAATCGAAATATGACCTTATTTGCAGCATGAATTCAGAAAATAAGTTTATTTTGAATTTTAATAAAAAACTTTAGTGAGAAAAATTGAAAAAACATATTAACGCCAAACATTTGGTAGAATTTATAGAATATTGTAAAAAGTATGTATGTATGTGTATGTATGTATGCATGTATGTGTGTATGTATGTATGTATGTATGTATGTATGTGTGTATGTATGTATGTATGTATGTATGTACGTACGCATGGTATAATAACATTTTTGCAAAGTATATTCAGCAGTGTATAGGGTTAGCAGTGTATAGACTATAATATAGAATGTGTGCGTGCGTGTGTATGTATATGTGTGTGTGTGTGTGTGCGTGCGTGTGTGTGTGTGAACGTTTAAAATGAACGAACTTGTTTAGAATGTTTAAAATCATCTTGTTTAGTTTATCATTGCTACTATTGGTGGAGTGATGTTTCATTCGTTTAGCCGGAGGTATGTACAATCTACCTGATGATGTCTTTAACCTTCCATATATATCTTCAACTACTTTATCCTCATCACCATAATCATCATCGTTATTATCATTGTTATCATCATCATCATCGTCGTCATCGTGTTTTCTTTTGTTGCTATTTTCGTCTTTCAGCTTTAGTAGGTGTTCGCTTGTTTCTTTGTCTATCTTGCTTTTGTTCCTCAGGTACATTTGCTGGAAGTTAACTTTTAAACTCGTGGAGTCGTCATTCTCGTCGTCGTCATCACCATCACTGCAGCCATGATCATCACTAATATCATCACCATCTTCTACTTCTTCTTCTTCATCTTCATCATCATCGTTATCGTCATCATCTCCTAGACTGAAGCAAACTTTTTTATTTCCTCTTATATCACTATTTTGAATTTCGCGATCATCATCACCATCATCCTCATCGGCATCGCTATATTCATCATCGTCGTCATCATCATCACCACCCATCTGCCCACGTGACGAGAACTCGTGACAGTCTTCCATGTAATTTAAGACATCTGCGAATTAAAAAAAATCGTAAATGCAAGCAACAAAAACAACAAATAATAAGGGAACAAAACAACTAAAATAGCAAAAAACAATAAAAACAAACTATGAAGAAAAAGAAAACATAAAAACAAGAAAAAATTTACAAACAAACAAAATAGAAAAAAATACAAACAAACAAAACAGAAAAAAATACAAACAAACAGAACAGAAAAAAAGTACAAACAAACCAGAAAAATACAAACAATAAAAAACAGATAAAAATACAATATATCAAACAAAACAAACAGTAAACCCAAAAAAACCCCAACATACAGTCAATATTATCTCTGGCAAAAGATGCAGGTAAACCCTTGCCCTTCTTGAAGAATAACTTCTTCTCTAAATCTTTCAGCAATTTGCCATCCTGTTTCCTCTGCAGCTTCAACTCCATCTCTTTCTCTTCCGCCTCCTAATTATAATAAATTATTATCATCATCATCATCATCATTATTATTATTATTAACGGCGTGATGGCTCAATGGTTAAAGGCACCTGGTCTTGCTGCTGCAGTGACTGGGTTCGAATACAAAGAGATCCCCGCCTATCATACGCAATGTGAATGATGCGTGGTTAACACGCGTATTCATGTACGCTGTGTGTGTTTGTCATTGAAACCTCTGAAGCAAGCACAAGAGAGAGAGAGTAACCTTTTACCTTTCAAAAGAATCAGTTTGCATTGTGAGTTTTTCATAATTTTATTTACCAAAAAAAACAAAATATCAACTAAAATTGATCATCAGAAGGATCTCAAACATCTAACCTACCCACTAACTCAGAATTTCAACAACTACTAAAAAACGTCTAACTAACTAACTACATGGCCTAGTTTTAAAGTTAATAAAAAATGTTTCGGTCGCAACAATATACTTGCCTTTTTTTCTTGTAACTTTCTCTCCTTTCTATTTCTCAACTTTGCTTTGTTCCTCTTCCTTTGCTTCACTATCTTCTTTTGTCTCTTCTCTTCTTCCGCTTCCTCTGTGGCTACCGATTCTTTCGTTGGTATCTAGGACGAATGAAGGAACAAAATGAATGAATGAAAGACAGATGGACAAACGAATGAATGACCATATAAATAAATAAGTGATTGAATAGATATAGACGAGATCTTTATATAATAATGTAATGGTAATATGGAAAATAAGTCGTTGTAATGTTGTGTAATAAAAATTTAATCGCAACAACTCACACAAAAATTATAAATCAAAAAATATCATACCATATTTCAGAATTCACACTGTCACTTAATATGAGACAAGAGTTAGATATCATTCATTTCAGATGTCAGATGTGCGCATGTATGTGGAAATAGTACATAAGAGATACATAACATTTGGAATAGTAAACTTCCAATTCCAAGCCTAGCAAGCATAATGCATTTATTCTACAGATTTATATTTATATAGTCAGTGAAAATATACTTTCCTGTCTGCTATACATGACCAATGCAGCAGTTTACTTACATTGCCTCACAGCATTAATGATATGAAGCTGTCTTTTTAAAAACTTTACCATTGTAAATATATATGTCATTCTATTTTAAATTATTTCACTTCAAATGTTTCAAATTAGGTGTGCTTATTAATACAAGCATATGAGATTAGCATTCTTATTTTTATTATTACCAATCTTACTAACGACTAATCTAAGTTCACTTTTAAAGTTTTAAGTTTATTCTATATTATATATATTATATTTATTTATATATTTATATTTATGGTTTTAGTTTATTAAAAAAACATTTGAAATAGTAATTTTTAAATTTCAAGCTTAGCACACATAACCAAATTATTTTATTTCAAATGTTCCAAATTAGGTGTGCTTATTAATGCAAGCATATGAGATTAACATTCAAATTTTTATTATTACCAATCTTGCTAATGACTAATCTAAGTTCATTTGGGAAGTTTTAAGTTTATTCTATATTAAATATATTATATTTATTTATTAGTTTTATTTTTTTATTTTCTACTAGTAGTACTCCCACCTCCATGCTCATCTCACAAAAATAATTGCATGCGTAGTCTGCCAAACAAACTAACCGGCAATCTCCTGCAAAAAGCATTCATTCTCATTTTCTTCAACCTTCTCTCTTTTTTCCTCCTATCTTTCCTAGATTCTTTTCTGTCTTCTACAGGCACATCGACCATTTTTTTATAGTTTTATGTATATTATATTATTATAATTATATTTAAACTGTTAATTAATTAATTAAATTTTATTTAATAATTAACAAATGATTTAATTAATTTAAAGCAAACGAAACGTAGACAGAATCGTAAAATTAAATAACATGAGTGCCATTGCAGTCTATTATCGTTCATCTGAACAAAACACGGAAAAGTGAACTTAAAACAGAACTAACAATAATATTAATAATAAGAATAACAGTTTATACAGCACTAATTAAAGCAACTGAAGCGCTGAAGAACTGAAGGTTCAATGATTTATTTTGGTGGTTATTTTACATTTATTTTATTTAACTTCTAAATTTGATATTTATTTTGTTTAGTTAATTTATATTAAACTTATTCTTTCATATGTTAATAGTATTTAAACGGCATCTTTTAAAATTTGTTTTATTTCACTCACTAGAGTATTTAAAACGATTTTTAATTTGAAATAAAATTTTATTTATTTATGAAATATAAACAGTAAAAATTATAAATAAAATATAATTTATTGCACAATTCATATTCAAGTATGCAATTTAAAAAATAAAACACCACAATCTATTAATCAATCAATCTTATTTTAGCGTCGAGAGACCACAAAGAGTAATACTATCCACCGAGGTAGGACGTTTTCTTTGAAAACAATTTTTAACGCCAAATTAGGCAATCCATTTAATTTAAATTTAGAGCTTTCATGTCTCGCTCGATTGTTTGCGACCAGGACTTCTTTGGGCGGCCTCTGGGACGTGTGCCGGGTACTTCAACATCTGCAAGGGAAGTTATGGCACTGTTTCCACTTCGTTTGACATGACCAAACCACCGCAGGCGGTGTTGCCGGCATTCGTCCTTTATATCATCTAAACCAGCACGACGCAGGATTCGGTAGATTTGATGTGGTTCTTCGGACTAATTCGTTGCATCAATCGAACCATCGAAGCATTTTCATGTCGGTTCGGTGAAGTTGTTGTTCCAGTTTGGTTGTCATTGTCTTGATCGTAATGGTAGTGGTATGTCACGCCGCATCAATATAGAGGCATGGAGATGCCATTTATTCCAGGCTGCACGTATGCGTGCTCGAAAGGCAGCTTCAGCTGTTCCAGTACAATCCAGAACATCTCCTAGATATTGAAACGATGTGACTTTTTCTACTTTAATGGCTTCAAAAACATTGCTATTTCGAATTTATTGTTGTGGATTGATGCAAGCAGGACAAACAAAATTTGACACTTTAGAAAAATTACAAACTATTTTTGAACAACGTTTGTGACACAACTGGTTACACTGCTGACACTTGATTGAATTGTTATCTACACCAGCTTTACAAACTGAACAGGGCCATCGTCCAGTAGCTGTGGATTGGATGGGTTCACCAGTGTTCATTGTTTTGGTTTCGCTGATGTTGACTTTGAATCCATGTGGGCCAGTCTGGTGTTCTAATCTTCAAACATCTGTGCTGCATTCTGCTCAGACGTGGCTGTTAAAAAATATCATCAGCATATATTAGATTCCAAATGTCACCAGTGCGTATTGGATTTGTGATTTCTTCCATCACGGTTATAAATAACAGTGGACTGAGAATCGAGCCTTGGTGAACTCCAACGCCGATGTCAAATGCATCTGTGTTTCCAACCGTTGTGCCGACGAGAGTCTTAGTATTCGTATGCATTTCCATCACAAGTCGAACAAGATATTCTGGAATGAGTTGTCGACGTAGACCCCACCTGATTGCTTCACGGGGAACTCGATCAAATGCTTTTTCAAGGTCTACAAAAATGTGTGATAGTTGTTGATGCTTTGCGAGGTACTTCTCTTGCAGTTGCCGAATGACAAAAATTGCATCAATTAAAATTTTATTTAATTTTATATAAATAAATAAAATTTTGTTTCAAATTAAAAATAGTCGTAAAACACCAAAATTTATTAAAAAATAAGTAAACATATGCAAATATAAAAAAATCTTACAAAAATTTTGAAATCGTCTGATGCAGTGGCAATCTCAGAAAATAGCATATACGTACGTAGAATAGAACGTATATGTTCTATATTATGTTTAAAACATTTTTGAGTCCTTTTTTTCACTCCGGTCGTTTCCATTTGTCTATGGAAGAGGACGGAACTGAACAGAAGTGGTGAGAACAAAAATGACGGTGGAAATGGCAGGAGTTTGAAGTCTCTTCTGTCTCAGTTTCCAAGCAGTCAAACCACCCGTCGAGGTTTCCCGTTAGAACACGCCGCGTTTGATGCCTCGTGTGTGCGCGCCGTTTATTCGTCGTGAGTTGCCGCGTGAAAATTTTTCGATTCTTAATTATATTTTTTTAAATTTTAAATAAGATTTTATACAAAACAATGCTTTAAGGACAATTTTCCCTTACATCAGTAAAAATCAAATATTTTATCAACTGAAGATAAATCAAGTAAGAAAACAAAAAAAAAATAAAAAAAAATATTGAGATGAAACGTGTAATTGAGAAACTGAACAAGGTTCGATAAATTTTAACAAAATAATCACATTATACATTTCCTATAACGGATTAACGATAGTCATCCAGTTAAATTCTTTTTGGAACGACCAAACTCGCCACCACCATTACCAAGGTCGACAGCTGTAGTACCACTGCCAGTGCCAGCATTAGCAATACCGTTGGCAGCAGCAGCAGCAGCACTACCAACGGCCAGATGTCTTCCTTTTTGCCACACCGCACCGTACAGTGTTACCCCATCAATGGTTGCTGACAGATGTTTAGTTGACGTCACCTCGAAGAAATTTTTCGCTCCGGAATTGTATCTGTTAGGTGTGGGTTTGTTTATGTGTTCAATGTGAACTATGGACCAGCTAACTATTCAAATTACAACTACTCTTACATTTATTCGCATGCCAATCAACCTAACTTGAAAAATTTTTCAATTTGCTTCGGTTCGACAACCTTCGGTCCGACTCCGTGCAATCTCACAATCTCACAGCCTCTCGTACCTATGTCTGAACATGGTATGTTGTGGTTGATATTGTAGGCATAGAGGCCTCTATACTGCATGCCCACGTCTCTGAATAAAACCACAAAATGTTTGCTGCTTGATTTCTGAAGAGCCTGTGCGTGTATGTGTGTGTGTGTTTGTGTGCGTGCATGTGTGTGTGTTTGTGTGTGTGTATGTAAAACATTTGTAGGAAGTTGTTTGGTGGGTTGATGTTGAAAGTAGAGTAATCAGATCATTTTCAAATCATCAATTAATCAAACCGCCAACCAACCGACCTCCAGTGCCTTACACTTTACATCTTGGTTGACCAATCCAGCCAGGCAACAATGGCTCAGAGCATTCTCCACGATGTTCTTATTCGATTTACTACTTGGCTTCACAAACAATCTTGGGCCTAAGGCGATGACGAAGACGGTGATGAAGACGATGAAAAACATTTGTTTATTTCAGTTTTAAGATGGCTCTTGATACATTTTGAACAGAAACTACAAAGACAACCAAATACAAAATGAGTTCAAAAGGAAAAATATTTGTTTTGTAAAGTTGAACTTATAAAAAATGGCAGTTGGAATTTGGTAACAAAATGTTCACAGTAACATCAACTTAGATGATGCAAACATGATGAATATGAGTTTAGAATTAGATAATGTTTCAACAAATATTATCACCCCTGACCCATCCACAGAACGCCCCATCAGAGCCATCCAAATTCTGGTCCTAGCGCAGGTCAGTACATAGACCCACAGAAATTAATGGAGAATAAACAATGAATAGCTGAAATTTCAAGCTCTCGTTCCAAGTTTTTTGTCCTAATTTCAACATTCGATAACGCAGTAATAAAATAATTTGTCACTGCCCACTTACCACAGACTTATTCTTTTTTCACTCCAAGGAAGGATCCGATCTGAAAATTTTCAGATTCCTGTTTCATTCGTTTAGCTCGTTCAAATTTTTACAACCACGGCAAGTTGAGCTACAACAATTGCAGCCACCACAAAGTCATCTGCATATTCTAAGCGATTACGCTATAGTACGTACATGTGATTTAATTTATCCGGTAAATTAATATGTTGAAAAAATGTATGGAAAATTTGAACTTGATGGAATAAATGCGTACAAAGAAGTTAAAAAAGGCTCCAAGGTATAGGCAATTTGATACAGCAACAACAAACACGCTGTAAAAAAGTACACTGGCTGCTATCAGAACAATCTCAACAGTCTCATTCCTGGCGGACATGAAAAAAAAATGAAAAAAATCTTTGCCCACCTTTGTTTTTTTTTTGTTACGTTTTGTTTACATTCAATGTCTGAAATCTCATTGGTTGACTCAATGAACAAATCAAACGAAGCATGTCGTTGTTTCGATGTACGTGTGATTCACTCAAATTTTTTTTAACAGCTTTTTAGAAAGTGAAAGAAAATTTGTTGAAAACGATAGACACTGCTATTAACGTTATTAAGCTTTATTTTAATTTTCCATGTTAACGAAGTATTCTTTTTTATTTACATCCAAAATAACTTATTTTTAATTTGGATTTAAATAAAAAGATTAATTCGTAAAATATAAAATTTAAATGAAAAACTTAACAACGTCAATAACAGAACCCTTTTATACGAATTATTTTCAAAAGAAGGGTTGTTGCTTAAATTTACTAGCATTAGATTAAGCGATCGAACAATTCTCAATTCGGATGTAACTATTTCTTATAGAAGAAAGTCGGTAGCACAGGAATGAAACAACGGCTTCTAAAATCATCCTACAAAAACGCTCACCCGTAGACTCGCTTGTCATCTGAAATAAGGTGCAGCACTACTACAAATTAATAGTAATCAACAACTAAATAGAGAAACTTTAAGCTACAGGAATCCATAGTTGATACACCACCATTTGTATATAGCCTACGTATTCATAATAACCATTATTCCATTAATTAACGATACCGCACATCTCTATGACGTCAGACGTTTTACGTTATTTTTGAATAATTGCTTCAATTTAAATTTAATTTGTTGTCCATGATTATGAAACATAGTTTTCGAAATGTCGGATTTTTAATTAAATAAAGTATGAATCTTGGTGAACTTATTTTTAATTTGGATTCATATAAAAAAATGATAATATTGTAAATTAGAAAATTTACATAAAAAGCTTAGTAACGTTGATAACTATCATTTTAAACTAAATATGTTTAAATGCTGCCTAAATTTACTAAAAAGTAATAACGTATATGAAAATTTCCTTATAAACCATACTTTTTATCTACTTAAATAAAAATAGATGTGTGCCTTTGCGTGATTTGCAGAAAAGGAAAAAGAACAGTCAGAGTTGGTGGAATTGCGAGATGGAACTGCAACCTCCTAATTCTAGGAAACGGAGGAAGAACGCCAATTAAGGTTAATAGAGTTACGTGTCAGAGCTGCAATATTCAGATCAGCGGAAACGGAGGAAAAACGCCAGGTTTATGGAAGTGCGAGATCGAACTCTTTTTGCAATCGCCATAAACAAGGTCCAAGGATAACTTTTGGATATTGTCAAGGATGACAATATCGCAAATAACAAGATAAAAGGCCAAAATATGATTGTTCAAAAGTCGAAGTAAACGATTTTTAGTCTCCTATTTTATTTGAAAGTTTTTCCCTTTCCAGATTTCACTAGTTGCAACTTTCCTAAGATTATTACAGCTAGTTGTGAGTGAATGCTGTTTATAATTTTTGTTATGTTAGAGGAATTTCACTTTAGTTTTTGTTTAAAAGCATGTTTGCTATATTTGATCGTTTCAACTTGGTTTTTTTGAGCTTTGGATGTTGCAAAATTGAACTTCAGTTGAACTTTTGAATTTTGCAAAGTTGAGCTTCATAATCATTGATTGCTATGTAAAACGTAAGAGCTCCGGAGCAGAAATGTTGTTAAAATTTACGAGGTTGGCTGAAGATGAACAGAACAGCCAAGCTGGAAAAATGTGAAATATATGAAAAAAGGTGATGACGTCGCTAATTGATGGCTACATTGAGATTGCCAAAATAGGTCGTTCAATCAAACTGATCGACCTGTAACAATGTAAGAAAAATTTTGGACGTGATGGGGCAACAACAATTGCCCGAAGCTCCACTGTAGAAAAAACTGGAGAAGTATGGTGGCAAAAAAGATCGTTTCAGCAATGAAACAGAGTTTGAAAAAATATATACTACTATTTGGTTATTTATGTTTTTCATGTTACTTGTTTGTTTCATGTTATTTGTTTATTTGTTATTTGTTTTTCTGTATTTTAGAATTTGGTGATAGGATAGCGTTTTTTTTACCAAGTCAAATAGAGAATCTAAATTTCAACAAAATAACGATGAAGAAAAACCGGTAGGTAATACACTGAATGATACCACCTACAAGCATAACGCAAACAAAAAAAATAGTTAATACAAATTGAATAGCATCATGATCAAGCATATACAAACACACACACACCACAAACACCACACACACACACACACACACACATCCACAAACACACACACACACACACACACACACACACACACTACACACACAAACACACACACATCCACAAACAAACGACATCACGTACAAACCGTTATAAGATAATTGAACAGTTGAATGGACGCCCGCATCCGCAACGGTATCTGTGTTGCTGCTACCACCCATATCTAAATTTTAAAAATATTTAGCTGTTTATAAATGTTTATATTTGTATTATTTGTACATATATATATATATATATATATATATATTTTTTATTACCAACATATATATATATATATATATATATATATATATATATGTATATATATATAATATTTATATATTTATTGTTGTATGTTAATGTATGTATAACTTCTTATATGTTAAACTGTTTGTATGTTAAACTGTTTGTATGTTTAACTGCTTGTAAGTTTAAATGTTTGTATGTTTAACTGTTTGCACGTATATCTGTTTGTATGTTTATCTATATGTATATAAATGTTTAGTGTGTTAATATTACTGTATGTTTAAGTTTGTATTTTTTTTACATTCGTATGCAATATCAAAACGAATGATAATACACAAGTAACCTCAAAACAACAACAACATCAACAAAGATATTGTAAACAACGACAAAATAATAAAAACATAACAACAAAGTACAAACAACAACATCGTCATATGCAACATCACACCAGCACCACCAGCATTAAGCAAACTTCCATCAGAGTGCCATACATTATAGTAATTATCTTTACTAATTTTACTAATCGCTAAATTACTGAAACTGCTTTTAACAAGGTTTGATTTGTTTCTACTAGTAACGTTACTACGAGAGCTACTACTGCTTCTACATCTGCTGCAGTTCAACTCTTGTACTAAGTTAGTACTAGCGATGAATGTAGTATTGTTACTAGTATTAAGCTGTGGTGGCGAATGATCTGTTGTTTGTTTTACGTTGATGATGTTGCCGGTGAGTTTTAATTTATTTGATTTGCTGAATTTTGTAAATGTTTGCCTGTCATCGGATGTGTTCATTGTTGTTGTTGTTGTTGTTGTTGATGTAATTGGTGTTGATGTAGTTGTTGGTGTAATTGGTGTTGTTGATGTAGTTGTTGGTGTTAGTTCGGGTGTAGTTGTTGTCAGCAATGATGGTATTTGTTCGTTCTGTTTAAATGTTATTAAATTTTGTTTGCCCTTTGACGCTTGTTGCTGTTGTTGTCTTTTTAAAGAAGAGAATCTCATTGCAACTTTATGTCGTTGTTGTTGATGTTGGTGGTGATGTTGTTGTTGTTGATGTTTGTGTTGATGTTTCTGATGTTGTAGCCTAGAAACTCTAGCAGTAGGGCCATCGTCATCTTCATCTTCTTCCAGTCCAACTTCTTCTTTCATCCTTCTCTCATTATTCTCCTCCGATAACTTCCCAATAACCTTTCTATCAAAACAGGCTGATGTGGCATTAAGCGAAGCATTAGTAGCATCTGTAGTAACTGTAGTAGCAACAGAAGCAGCAGTAGTAGCTGTAGTGACAGATTTTTTCTGTTGATACATCCCAAAGATCGCCTTCCTTTCTTCTCTGCTTCCATCTCTTCTCCTTTCCACCACATCTTTCAATCTTATGATGATGATGATAATGATGATTTCGATGATGCTGATAATGATGCTGATAACAATGATGATGATGATGATCGCTGTGAGACTGATGATGACGGATGATGAAATCATAAGGCACAAAGATGATGTCGCTTATTGCTGCATGATGATGATGATGACTGCAAAATTTAACCTGACAATATAAGCAACAGATAGAAAATTCAGGCACAAAATAACCACACATACATTCACACATACATATAAGCACACACGCACACACACACATGTATAATTACACACACATGCATTCACACATGAAAAACACTTACACACACACGAACACAAAAGCACACAGACACACAAAAACACAACGACATTAACTACTTTCGTCTTTCTTTCAATACCATGGCTCTCCTCCCTCTCTTCCTCCTATTCATCTTTAGCTCCTCTCTCCTCCTGCGCATTCTCTCTCCAATCTTTTCGTGCCTCCTCGTAAATAGTTCATCCAACAGAGGTTGACCATGGGTATTCTGTATTCGTCGTGTATTTGTGTGCGTGTCTGTGTGCGTGAGTGTGTCTGGACGTGTTTGTTTGTTTGTATGTGTACTTATTTATTGATCTGTCCGTGTTGATGTTCATATCTTTTATTTGTCCTCATAATTCTTATATTCTTCATGATCTTTTACATCGCCCAGACAGACAAATGACTGATAGACAGATAGACAAACAGACAGACAGACAGACAAACAGACAGACAGAAAGCTAGACATACATTCAAACAGACATACTAACCTCAACGATATTATCATCATTATTTTTATCGTCAGCGTCATCATCTTTATCCTTATGATCATTCTGCATGATCATATCATATACGTTGTTAGCATGGCGATGGTTTCCATCATGGTTTGTATAATCTTGACTATCAACACTTGAACCTAAATACTGGTTTGGTTGTTGTCGTTTTTCTTGAAGCTGTTGTCGATGTAATTGACGGTGTTGTTGATGTTGTTGATAATGTTGTTGTTGAAGTAACTGATGTTGCTGTTGTTGATGTAACTGATGTTGTTGTTGATGTTTTTGAAAGGGTTGTTGATGTTGTTGTTGTTGATGTAACTGATGTTGTTGTTGATGTTTTTGAAAGGGTTGTTGATGTTGTTGTTGTCTCTTATGTAGTGTCTCCACAATCTATAGTTAAAGGTTAAAAAAAAGTTAAAAATTACTTTCTCTCTTTTGCGTTAGCTTCAGAGGTTTCAACGACAAACACACACAGCGTACATGAATACGCGTGCAAACCACGCATCATACACATTGCATATGATAGGCGGGGATCTCTTTGTATTCGAACCCAGTCATCGCAATAGCAAGACCAGGCGCCTTTAACCATTGAGCCATCACGCCGCCCCTAGTGTTCGTTCATTGATAAATTGATCTATGCATTTTTACATTGCTGTTTTTTGTAGAAAGAAAAGCATTCACACACACACACACAAACACACACAGATATACTAACACACATACATATACACATGCACATACAAACACATATACAAATGAACTGACACATAATCACCCACACACCTACTCG